CATCAAAGAGTTCAAAGGTCTCCAGTGCATTCTGAAGAAGAGAAACCAGTAAAGTAGCATCTGTTATATATATGCACCAGCCTCTGAAGACAAGCAACAATCTGGAATGATGTGGAACTGCTAAGCCGTTTGTTACTTCATCCATGATCAAAGCTTTTGTTGGACCAGTGATCATCTCCGCTGCAAAGTTTTAATTGACACCAGTAATTAAGGTAGGTCAAAGCTGATGTTTTGTAGTTAGTAATCTAAGTAAAACCAGTGAATGTTATGGAATCGAGCACATTGTGTAACCTTCCAAAACTATCACTGTTTCTATTTGCATTACCTGTTTCCAGTCTCTTCTTTTGACCACTAGAGATACCTCTTCTCATGGCATCTCCAACCAGGGTGTCAGCACATATATCGAGTCCGAGTATCTGCAAAACCATGGCAAATATTGTTACAGGCCGGGAAGCATTTATGCTGACAAAATTGATGGGAAAGAAGATTGGTTGATTGGTAAATGTTAATCAGCCGGGATCCTATGAGCACGGGAAAACAAAAGGTGAATTGTAGGGAAAGAGATTTGTATGGAAATTGAGCAATTAAAATGTATGAAAAGGTGCAACCAATTGATTAAATTCTTTTGCATGGAAAAAATATTTTGTTAATTTGAATCAAATTTTGAATAACTAAAGATTCATGTTCTTTATACATCAACAGCTCGATAGCGCAACTATTTCTTTGCTTTGAGAACACCACCAAGATCAACATGGACATGGGCACCACCAAGAAGTTTTAGTATTTCCTTACAACCCCGAATTCTCTAAGAGGACTCATCGTCATCGGAGTCGACCTCCACTCACCCACACCCATGCTCACGCTCACGCCTCTCATACCGCTCAACCATCTCATGCAGATTCAAAATAATCGAGAACCTCAGTTAGATTTGTGCTGGTCCCTCAGTACAAGGTTCCTTCTACCAGCAGGATGAGGAGGAGCAGGAGTAGCGTTTTGCAGCCTCATGGCAAGGCTCCTACCAACAGGACGAGGCGCATCAACATCACCAATTACATTCAGCTTCTTCTTGCTGCCACCAGCAGCAGCATCACCACCGATCTTCAACTTCTTGCTGCCACCAGCAGTAGCATCACCACCGATCTTCAACTTCTTCTTGCTGCTATCAGCAACAGCATCGCCACCAACAGCAGCATCACCAATTGATCTTTTCCTATTTGCCATAGATTCATTGAACTTGGCTTCGAAGTCCCGCTTAGTTGCTTCCCATAGCTCAGACAATGGACAAGTGCCATCGTAGTTAATATTGACCTCTATATATATAGTATGTAAAGTTTTATGGTGCCTGAAAAAGACATCAAAATCATGAACCTCAAAACTTCAAAATCATGAACCTCAAAACTTCAAAATCATGAATGGAAAATTCAAAACAGGTCATACGTACCTATCCTCTGTTACAGTTGCACCAGGGGATGCATGTGAAGGTGGTGCACCATGATCCAATCCCTCATCCTCCACGTTCTCATCCTGCACGCTCAGGCCAATGTCCAGATATGCATCAGTACCAGTTGGTGCACCATGATCTAATCTCTCATCCTCCACGTTCTCATCCTGCAGGTTAAGGGCAATGTCCAGGTTCTCATCCTGCAGGTTAGGGCCAATGTTCAGGTCTCATCCTGCAAATTAGGGCCAATGTCCGCGTTCTCATCCTCCAGGTTAAGGCCAATGTACAGGTTCAGGCCAGCCGGGCTCTCTGAGTTCTCCGAGTTCTCATCCTGCAAGTTAGGGCCAATGTGCACGTTCTCATCCTGAAAGTTCAGGGCAGTGTACTGGTTCTCATCCTGCAGGTTAAGGCCAATGTCCAGGTTCTCATCCTGCAGGTTAGGGCCAATGTCAGCGTACACATTTTCAGCAACAGCAACCCCGATAGCCTGAAAAAAGTTGTCACACTGTACACCACCCACAGTCGTTCTGGGAGTGCCATATGCATTGGTGCTGAAATAACATGGTAATGTCTCGAATTTGTTATAGTCAGGAAAACTTCCAGCATGATTCATGGTAAGGTAAGCCTACAAAAAAAATCAGCCCAAAAAGAAATCAAAATCAAAGCTTGAAAATGGAAAACGTTAGTTTATCAAACACATTGTTGAAGCTTATCTTCCAAGTGCAAGAGTGCTTTTTGCATACAGAAATGTACAATTGCAGGAGATACTATGCCAAATTAATTGGTAGATGAAAACTCAATGGCCAATTCACGATGGCAGACTATACAGACCTCACATTAATAAATAATGTGAAGTGGGTCACCCATGAAGATCATTCATCCACACCACCTTAAATCTTTTCAACTTGAAACAATTTCCTTTTATTTTTTTAAATTCTGTCAGTTGATTAAATATAACCTAAAATCAACTTGTGAGTACAAAAATACAAACTAAGCCTAGCCTAGCACAAATTTCAGTTGCAAACGTCCAAATTTCAATTGCAAAACATCAAATTCAAAATATCTGAGAGAGAGAGAAAGCAAGAGATAAAGAATACCTGAGAGAGACAGAATTTATGCTGGAAATTGCTGCTGCTGGAAGGTGCGACT